CCCAGTCTCCCCTGCTCTGCGGTCCCTGTTAAACAACTAATCGCAATGCTTCAACTGAGCTTGCTGTTCAATTCTTTCTGTGTGATAAGTTAATCAGAATAATAAAAGTGGGCCGGCTATCGACCCAATCTTTTTTTAAAACACGAATATCTGTGTGTGTTCRTCTAAACYTTATCAGCCTTATAGACCAAGCTCCTTCTTGATTRTCCTTGTGGCTTTGAATGTAAGGAGGACATAAGCAAAAGTGCGGACTAAAATAAGGCTCTTTCTTTCTAATGCATTTCTCGTTGCAGTGGAAATAAACATTAAACGATTTGGAATGCATATCTCCATTTGGTGAATTCTCTGTTCTTTGACAGGATGACTTGGGTCGTACGATAGACTGATTCCATAAGTCGTAGTATTCGCTCCTCGATTTTTCGGTTTGTCGCTCAAACTAGCGTCGGTCCGGGAGCAAAAAAAAAAAAGAGCGACCTGACAGACTGGTGGAATCAGTCTAGGTCGTACGATAGCCCACTTTTATTATTCTGATGACTAATCATTCATTTATTCATGTTCTTGTGTATTTCTTTCTTTCATTTCACAATTCACTTCATTTTATTTGTTATTATTCTTTTTGGTGTTACGATATGTTCCGGGGGTGTTCYGGCGGTGTTCCTTGTTTTACAGACACCCGCTTCCCACCCTCCCACTGGGACAGCGCAAACTTACACGCTCTGCTTATGGCTTGTCCCAGGCAGAGCGATTCCCCATAACTTAATAAAACRAGAACCACTACAAGTTTCTTGACAAGGAAAAATTGTCCGTGTAAAGGGTCAACAAGTTTTCCTTGACAATTCCCCCTTGACAATGTTTCTTTGCTCGTGTAAACGAAGAAAAAGTTTTCCTTGACAAGGAAAAAATGCCCGTGTGAATGGTCAACAAGTTTTACTTGACAATTTTTCCTTGCCACATTTTCCTTGTTGTCCATTTACACGAGCAAATTTCGTCCTTGACAATTTTTCCTTGCCACATTTCCCTTGTTGTCCATTTACACGAGCAAATTTCGTCCTTGACAATTTTTCCTTCTCAAGGAAAAGCGAACATGTTGGCTTTTCCTTGACAAGGAAAAATTGTCAATTTTACCCCATTTACAAGAGCAATTTTTCCTTGTCATGGAGGCGCTTAACGTGGAAAAAAAAGTGCTTACATTTTATAACCGTGACGGCCGTAGAGGCCTGGGCGCGCTAATATATACATGAATAACAATACACAGCGRGAAATATCACAGGCAGCCCAAGCTAAGCATTTAACTAGCAGATTATAGCAATATCTATAATGMATGTAAATACTGATATAAGTAAAGGAGTTGAGATATCAAAGAAAAACGGCAAATTGCGCCTAAATTCATAACTAAGACCACATCATAAGGTAAGACAAATGTTTTTTACTTATTTTTTCTTTCAAAAATTTAGTATTTACATGCATTATAGATATTGCTATAATCTGCTAGTTAAATGCTTAGCTTGGGCTGCCTGTGGAAATATYACACATTATAAACATACTGTGACGTCATTATGCCATAGGGCAATTATTGGATGAGGTTTTTGTGATATCCGAAATAATCAAAGTTGATTGAAGTGAAATCAGCCGAAATTTCAAATGCAAATTTTAATTGTTTCAAGACTAAAAGACCTAAACCAATCAGCAAATGTTTCTTTGAAATACTGTGTTTTTTCAGGAAAATGGAACAAACTACYATACACCATCGTCAAGTTATAGGACAGGAAGTCTGTAGGAGGGATGGGAATGATCCAAAAGGTAGTCAATAATGCATTTTTACTTAAGCTATAATAATATCTAGAACCGGATTACAAGGTTAAGTATGTGGTGGATAGAGCTATTCGTGCAGCACCTAAAATCGGCAAAGAAAATACTTGTATCAGTGCATTCCCTTTCAGTGCATCCCCTAACWTCAGGCAGGCAAGATACCATTACCCATTTTATTAGTTTTCTTTGCTATTTGAACGGATTCTAATTTCTTTGTTTCTTCTATGATATAAGCATTTTTCTATTGAAATTTTCTGTACAAACATTAAGGAAACTAAAGGAATTGAATACTCCAGTTTCGAATTCATAGCGAATAACCGCTGCTTTATTTGACAACAGATTCTCTTGCGCAAAGACAATAGACTTGAAAATTTGCATTTTCCCCGAGTTGAGATTATCCCTGTATTCCCATAAGACCTAAGGTATGAGCAGGGTTAGCCTCAACTCGGGGAAAATGTARATTCTTAGCGCTCTATTGTATTAACAACATTTTCTCGTGCTTTCTTTTGTCTTTGGTAAGTTCTTTGCGTAATAGAATCTGCTGTCAAGTAAAACAGCGGTTATTCGCTTTGAATTCGAAACTGGAGTATTGAACATAATTATGTGTAAACTGAAAAATGCCTATATACGCATCCCTACTTGAACTCTCAACTCTATCATGGACACATTCAATACACAGTGAATCCCAGCCGTTTTGATTTTGGCAACTTTGTTTTGAATGTCCTTGCCAATAATTTAAAATTATAATATATAGAGGATGATATTACATGGGCGCGCGGAGATACGGATTTTATCTTCGAGTATTGAAAAGATCTCTCACGAGTGAGCGTAGTAAGATTTTCAAAAGGAGACGATAAAATTCGTATCTCCAAGCGAACATGTAATATTCTATTTATCATATAATTGTATGTGAAARCAAACTATGTCGTAAAATAGCCCTTTTCCTAGAAACCGCGAATGTTTTATTTTCACTAGTGAAAATATCAACTTTACGAAATCGAGAAATRTAGATATTTCATAAATGATTATATGATAAAAGGAAATAACTTCGTTTTTATGACTTTAATTTTACAACGCTAATGTCTCTGACTGCATATGACCAACTTGTATATTAGTATTCTTTTATTTTGATGCAGAAATCCTGGAGTTACRAGAAAGGGAAAAAGTCTTCAGCAAATTGATTGTCACAATCAAAGGTTTTTTAAAACCTTATTCTCCTTGTTTGTTCAACAACCATGCTGCATTGCAGTTAGCGACTAACACTGGACAAATTGATTGGAAATGATAAGCTCATGAAACAAGAGTGCGCATGTGCTATTATCCACACTTGATTTCTCGGTTATATTTGCGATAAGCTTCATTGCAAAACGTTGTTATAGAGAATAAGTAATGTTTACAACATGAGCGGCCGTGTTGTAAAGCCCGTACAACACGGACGCGAATGTTGTAAATTACTTGTGAAACGTTTAGATGTATACATTCATAATCTACTAAAAACGTAAAGATAAAATTGAATTTGGCTGAGAAAATTAGATTTGAAGTTTATGCAAATCAAGACAGTTTTGTATCAAATATTACAACACTCTTCACTTCTTCATTAATTATTCATTAATTATTTTACAAGACCATTTGTACTTTAGTCCCCATCCAGACGATTACGGAAATAATTGATAACTGATGGCTACCAGTCACGCGTTTCCGGCGGTATACAGAAATTTACAGTCTTAACCACGTACCTTTTTGACAGTGTAACGGCGTCACAGTGTAACGGTCTTACAGTGTAACGGCCTCAGTGTAACGATCTTACAGTGTAACGGCCTCAGTGTAACGGTCTTACAGTGTAACGGACATACAGTGTAACGGTCTTACAGTGTAACGGTCTTACAGTGTAACGGTCTTAC